AGACGTAAAATATTTTCAAGTCCATTTAAAGCCACTTGGACTATTTTGGAGTCCATAACAGTCAAAAGGTCACAAAGTGGTTTAATGCAGCCTAAGGCTACCAGATACCTTCAGAGTAATTAAAAAAAGAGATGAGAAGGAAAAACATTTTAGAAGACTTAAATAGTGTTTATAACAACAGCATGAAAATATTCTTCATAGTGAAATGTTATATAAGCAATTAAGAAAAGTATGCCTATGCAAACTCAAATATAAAAAATATTTAAATTTTCACTTACACTGTAATTTCAAAACCTTCTTTCCTATTTTCTAATTTGACAAAATTAGCAATAAATGGTATTGCAAATACTACAAAATACACACACAAGCAAATTGGTACTTGGGCTTGTTTTTGTAGGGCATATCAGTACTAAGAATAGTGGGTACAAGGTTTTTTTTATTTGTTTGTTTTAAAGGAGAGTCTATATTGACACATAGGCGTAATATGGAGGTAGGCAGAAATGAAGAGGGAGAAGGGATACCTAAATTAAACTTCAGGAAATTTCTCACAAAAACAATCATAGCTAATGTTCTGAAACATAATGCTGTGTTTCAGAAGCACAAAAGCCTCTAGGAACAAAACAGGCCATTTTGCAAATAATTTTCATAAATAACATTCACAAAAAATTTTCATTCATTTTTCTAATACTTTGTCCTTTTATAGCTGCTTTTTTAACCTCTATAATATACATAAAGTAACTGATTTGTTCACTTGGCAAAAAGTCTATACTAAGGACAAAAGTAAAAACATGCTCTGAAGCCAGAATGGATGCTTTCAAGTCCCAATTCTACTCCTTATCAGTTGTGTGACCTTGAGCAAATGTTGTGTCTCAGTTTACCCATTTTAAAATGGGGATAATGATAGTACCAACTTCAGAGAGCTGTTGTGAGAATACAACAGGCATTTAATAAATGTTTCTGTCCCTTTTTAAAAAAATGTACAAACCTTCACTGGAGTACTCACTTGCCATATTCTATACTGTTAAAAAATACTCTATACCTGATAAAAAAATATTTGTTGAATGAATAACTATGTTCACAGTTATGGGGTTAAAAGAGGTAAAATATGTTAAAGTACCTGATACATTGCTGGTGCTCAATAACTGAAATGACTTACTTAGCACAACTGGCAATAGAAGGCACTCATCAAGTATTAGTGGTATGCATGCTGAACCTAATCTGAGATCGAGGTCTTCTTCCCAAATATGTAGAGCTAATGAAACGGTGAAAATGGTTAGAAAGATAATTATCTCAGTTTGGGCACTTGATCCGCACTAGTAAATTTAAGGAATAACATATGGAATAGATATAATCATGAAAATAGATTGAAAAAAAACACAACTGTTTGCAAGCAAGCAAACTTTCAACTCAAAGCAGATAAAAATAACATTAGCATTAAAAAAAATACAAGATAGAACAAAAAAAGATCTTGTTTCATTACAGCTTATATTCATGATAAAAATGAAATGGAAATATTGATTAAAGCAAAAGGAATAGAAAATAAAAACCAGAAATAGATATTACCAACGTATAGAGATACAAATTTAAGAAAGATAATAGTACAAATGAAGACAATAAAAGATGATGCTCTCATAAATAGGCAGATTTCAAAATCGTGTGATTTGTAAAGCAG